AGCCACGGGCGTATTGTCGCCGGTGAAAGGGGCAACTGTACGAGAGGACGAATACCCCGAAGCCACCAAACTGCACGCGGAGCGGTTCCTTCCCAAGCCCGTGGTTGGCAAAAGAACTGTGCCAAGAGCTTCTGGAGGACCGTTCCAACACTTTACAGTTCCAACTGCCCACAATTTGGGCGGGGCGATTGGTGCTGACATGGCCCTCCTACGCTGCTGCTGGGCTGTTCCGATGCGATATTTTGGCGTGGGCGAGCACGTGCGTGCCACGTTGAGTGACTTGGGCCGTTCCGTTGGCGCCATGTAGTTCAACCCGGCGTACACGACTGCCTCGGCATGGGGCGTTCGCGTCCGCTGAAAACTGCCGCTGCCTCGCGTGCCTGGCGAGCGCCGCGCCCCGTCGCCACCCGCGCAGGGCAATAATGCAATAAAAAAAAGGAGTGATTGAAGGGAAAAAAACACCCCCCGTGGGGGTCGAACCCACGACCACACGGTTAAGAGCCGTGCGCTCTACCGACTGAGCTAGAAGGGCCACACGGCGCCTTGTCGTGAACCGAACGTTTGCTGGGAAATTTTGGCAAGGCGCCAGCAGTATCCAACCCCAAAAGAAAAGCCGAGCACCGGCAAATTACCTTCTGCTTTTGGAAGAGGGGTGAGCCTCGCCAAAGATTGGGGAAGACAGGGGGCAAAGCCGCGCGTGAGGATGCCCAAAAAGCGGGGTTTTCCCGTTTCTTATTTGCGCTGCCCACGTCTCGGGGAGTGGAACTAAGCCGCCCCCCGCGGTGCTCCAACGCAATGCCCCTCGACGCAAGCAAAACCTGCAATTTTGACGGCGTGGGGGGCGCTCCTCTGCACCGCATTTTCTACAGTCTGGGAAGTGTAAATGGAACCCCTGGGTCAACAGCTTCCAGCATAGAATTGCAAAACGTCGGCATCCGGCGTTAAGGCCCCCACAAAGGTGCGTAGAATTTCCCCTCTTAAGCATTGCCCTCGCGGCCTGCACGAAAATGGCTCCAAGTTCTGGGACCGCGCCCCCACGGAGGCAGAGCGCATTTTGCTACCGAGAGCAAGGTCCGCCACCACCTGCACTCGCGATCGCCCGACCGCAAAGCAGAAACGCAATGGACAAGGAATCGGTTCATCCTTTTTTTCTGGGGGCCATTGCGCACTACACATTTCAGGCGCAACCGCGGGTCAGCCGCGGGCGAAGCTTTGGCCTGGAAATACGCATCTGGACGTAAGGCGGCATCCCAACCACACCCCGCATCTGCGCTGGCGGGCGGTGGGCAACGCACTTTTAGGAGAGCACAGCGAGCAGCGAATGCTCTCAATTGCAGATTTCCCCCTCCCTTTACCCATCTCGCAAACCAACAAGGGGTTTCTGCACGATGAGACCGACAGCAAAAGTCTCTGGGAGTTGCCCCGCACGCCCCACCCAGGCCGCAAAGCAACGAAGAGCCAACCGCCGACTCCACGATGGATCGCCCCCATCTTCTCGAAACACCCCCTTTGGCATGCCAAAACTACCGCGTGCCGCGTTGGGGGTCAAACTGTAGGGCAAAACCCCTGCACCAGACGACGTGCGTGTTGGGGCGCTAGGGCGCCTCTTGGCGAATGGCGTCTGGTTGCTTATCCTCTAGACCCAACACGGTTCGATGACCGGTGTGGTTTTGGTCGAGCGGAGGCGTGCCGCTATTGTCCAACTCTTGAAACCTGGTAAGTCGCCCAAGCAGTTAGAGCCGCACCGACCCACCGGCCCCACCCCCATTGTCAGTGAGGTTGCTGAGAACATGATTCTGGCTGAAGAGGCTGCTTTGGGTATGGATGCCGCGCCTCCACCAGCATGCGATCCTCAGTGTACGCACCGCGGCGGTGCGGCTGCCCCGGGCGGCCCAGAAAGCAGGGCGCGACGGAAACGAACACTTCCCGGCACGCCTTTCAAAGAATGGTGTTGACAACTATCCACACAACAGATCCTATCGGATAACGCTCGCGCTAGTTGATTTTAGCGAGGCTTTTGGCTCCATTAGCCATCGTGTCCTCGGGCGCCAGCCAGCCAATATGCCACGGTGAATAGCCGAAGGTAGTTGCAGAACTTCCTGCCAATTGAACGCCCAAGCGCCTCGGCCGTACTCCAATGACTCGATATTAACGACGGCCTCCGCACCGCAAAGTGTTCTCAACGAAATTTGCTTCAAAGCGGGCGGCTTTTGTCCCTGCACGGCCGGCCCCAACGCGCCCCAATTGTATCGTGTGCCCAGGCGTCCGGGAACAGGGGGGTCGAGGGATGAATTGTTCACTTAAACCTCCTTCCTCTGCCTGCGTTGCCCAACGGCATTTCATCTTCGCCCAGAAACAACAAATATATGTTTAACGCACCTTAAAAGGGACGCTGCCTAACGGGTGTGTCTAAATTCTGCTGC